GGGAAGGTCGTAAGGAAGTCGGTTCCAACCAACCTCCCGCACTTGGGGGACTATCATGCATCTCTTCACAACATTTTTTAAAACGCCATGTATTCCGTAAAATTTTATGAAAAATATTGTCTTGCGATATGCATTGTACAACAAATTATTTGGAAAAATATAATACTTTCTGTTTTACTATGAAATGATTTTCAATTAATTTTCGAAGTGTCTCTTAAATGTACTTGAAAACTTTTGAATTCTCGTAATGAAATTCTATTATTAATTTTTGATGTGGTGTTGGACGTCGTTTTTCATTGGAACAGCAATGGCCGAGCTTCTATTATCCAGGATGTCTAAGAACTGAGATGAGTTCGCGTATTCTTCAAAGGAAATGTTGAGGGCACGGTAGACAGCTGGCATTCATGTTTTTTTTATGTACGTGAGTGTAATAAACATTCTGTTGTTGCAGAGTGGAAGTTATTAAGACGTTAATTAAATGTAACTACTTACGAATGTTTACCCTGTGACCACAGAATTGTTCTTTTCAATATTTTCAAATGTTATTTCAATTACACTGCCTATAAACATCGCTAAAACTTTGGGGCTCCATCATTTTAGTTTTCGAACATTAAATCTCTATGGTTTCCTTTAACTAAGTCTCCCGATTGCCAGTGCAACCCCGTAGGTTGATAACATACGTTTTATACCTGTTTTTTTTCTTTGAAATACGTCTTGAATCAAGGCTTCATGGAAGAATGATCGCCAAAGAACACATGTTCATTTGGTGATGAAGCCATTCAAGAGTGTTCAACTGCAGTCGTGGCCACGCGAACAGTAGGAGCTTGATGTAGCGATAGAAGTCTGCGTTCATCCTCGTGGAAAGGTAAACCAAGTTTGTTTTTATTGACGCGAGTATATTTAATTGTGTTTAACATTCCTTTAAGTTTTTATTTGTTTATTGTATACCCTAAAATGGTGGGGAAGTAACACTAAGGCTGTTTAGCCTTTCGGTAGAACGCATTTTTGGGGGGTTTTATCTAAATAAAAATCAGATTTAGCCCTACAGCTCAACTAAATCAATTGTGATTTTTTTAGAAATATTTGTTACATTCGTATTCATTGCATAGTTTGATTCCTAGGTCATATCCAGTTCGAGCTAAATAAGTCAGCGCACAAACATTAATTTGTAAATCGAGATCCTCCCAGGGAACCGTTTCAAAAAATGCATGCGCCCGTGGTATGCGCAACTCCAGTACTCAACTTTACGCAATATCGACAATCGAGGAGAAAGACGTCCTTCCGAGAGCATTGGTCGACCAGCGAAGCGTAGTTACAATAGCGGTACCTTGAGTGCACGTGGTGAATTGTCGAGTTACGTAACATGAACGCTACCTGCTCTAATGTGCATACGCTCATTGAGTGTGTGAATGTTAAAGTAGATAGCATTCAAAGAGTTACGTTGGATGGCGTTTCATTGTGTTCGTACTTGAAACAAAGATTTCATTATTTTAGAGAGAAAAAAACGTCCTGTAACGAGAACTGTCGATCTGGATTATGACAAACTTTGCATTTAAGTGCGCAGGTCCAGTAGCTTTCATTACTTCACCTTACATAAGTGGTTATTTACTAAGACAAAAAAATGTTTAAGAGTCCTACAATTGATGAATGTAATGAAATGCCTAGAACGTCATCCCTCGCGCCAATAATTTATCTGTTACCAACAGTCGAGAGTAAGGTCTACCAAAACACTTTTGATGCCTTGATGGGAGACAACTCGAGCGAAACACAGATTGTAATTCCAGAGGCATGACGTGCGTGGAAGGGAAATGGAGAGTGAAAAGAAAGTTGGGAAAAGCATAACGATGAAGAAATAGAAAACAGGGCACAAAAAACTCGTAAGAAGAACCAGAATATTATCTTTTTAAATTAAAATATTATTTGGGCTGTAATGTAAAACTGATTGAACGAACTATCACAAATGTCATTAGAAGACACATGTTATACTGGTGTCTGTAAATCTTCTAATACATTTCAGCCTAAAGTTAAAGGAAAAACAAAGAGAGGAATTGTGAAAGAAAGAGAGTGTAGTGAATAAGATTAAGAAAAAGAAGAAAATATTATCGTTACGAAAAATCAGGCAAAGTAGGTTGATAGGAGATGACCCTTTCCTGAACAGATTGCTACGGGGGTGAATGATCACAGCCTTCCCCTGGATGGAATAGAAAGATGTTGCCGATGGTATATGAGGTGGTAAAGGAGCTACCCATCCCACAATAACATCATTGGAAAATCTGTTTCTCACGCGGGTTTTCAATCGTAGCCTTCGGTTACGCGTACTTGCGCACTGCTTCAAGCTCCTGCACCACTGCAATAACATATTTAATCTTTACTATGACGTTCAGTATCGAAGTTTTTTCGTCCATACCAAAATTGAATGGTTTGATTGATGGGTGATGGACATGACTGTAGAATTTGAAAGATGGTGGAATTACAGACACGGGAAGTGGAATGAATCCTAGAAAATCTGATGCGAACCCGGTTTTTGCACTACAAATTCTCCATGAATTGACAGGAATTTCGACTACTTAATCCAGAGCTGAAAGGTGAGCGGTCTGACGTCTAGCGCAAGCTTCCCCACAAGTTACGTATGTATCTATCGTAGCTTGCACTCCGCACCAACGGTGGAGGTGCCACGACTGTCTAATACATGGTGGACTGCCCTAAACGTTTCCCATAGATAGTCCGGTATTTGAACCTCACTACCCAAAGGAGGAAGGTGAGCTATCTGACCACAACCCTCGTGACACCTCATCGAGCCAGGTACAATTGAAACACTATGTGGGCTACTAGTCCGCACTCTCGTACGTTACCAGGGGGATTTACTCTCCCCAAGGTGAGCAGCTGAGCAATGGGTCTTATCCTCCCCTCTCCCCCCAAAGGGTTAAAGTACCCCGTTGGCTGGTATCCGGAGACGCTGGAAAGCGATGTCGGGTCGCGGGTTGTGACACACACATTTACGCTCAGATTAGGTGAGGCCTGATTTAATTTCGTGTTTCCGGACGTGTTATCTGTTACGATCATTTTCCTCGTAAGTTTAGTGCAAGTTTGTATCGCAGAAGATGAGTGTATTTCCACTGCTTTATAAAGAGATCCGGTGCTGATCTACACATCGGCTTGTTGGGATTACCCAACTAGGTATCTCGCACCTGCAAGGCATCGTCCCATCCAATTTGTTAGGGCCTGGTGTTGATCGGAGAAACCAAGAAAGACAATCGGTCAAAGCAGCCGGCCGCCAGAATTCTCCTCCAGAAAGCGACTGAAATCTACATAGCTACCTAGCTAGGAAAAGCTCGCAGCGAGCACTGACGACAACATTTCAACCACATCTTTACTGACACGAAATAGAAACAATTTTGTTTTGAAGACGAGAACATGTGACCGTTACTTCCTCAAAAAAATCTAAAGAAATGACAGAAGCAGGTAAAGATCTATCACAGAAGATACCTCGAACTCCTGAGAAAGTTAGAACGCAAATTATTGGGGAAGTTGCGAAGGCATGACTGACTCTCCAGAGATAGGCATTTCTTCAAAAAATTTAGGGGCCGATTTCGTAACTGATACCCCCACTCTAACAGCATTTTGTCTATCCACCGTTCAAGAAAAATTGCGCGAGTAAAAACGCGCAAGCTCGAGACTACTACCTACCTACGAGCTGTTTATGCCGGGCACGTGCCTCTTCAATACCCATGAAGGTCGAGGACAGAATACCCAAACGACGTACCTGCCATGTCTCGGGCACCCTGGGCGCGACGGTGACGCCGACCGCGAGGCGCGCCACCTTGCGCGAGACGGGCGGCGGCAGCAGCATGCGCGCCACGCCGAAGTGCGCGGCGGCGCGTGACCGCCCGCGGGCCCGGACGCGGTGGCTGTGCGGGTGGCGGTGGCTCTTGCGGTGGCGCCTCCTCGCCTTGGGGCGGCGCGCGCGCGCCGACAGCCCGTGCGGGCCCGCGCGCCCGTGCGCGCGCCCGCCCACGCGGCTGTAGTACGCGGCCGCCGGCAGGGCGTACGACGCCGTCGCCGTCGCAGCCGTCACCGACGATTGCTGCACCGTCGAGTCGTCCGCCACCGACGCCGACGCGTCCGTGGAGGACGAGGGCGAGGGCGGGCTGTCAGTCGGGGCGAGGTTGCCCGACGCGCCCCGGCTCTCCGCCAGGGTGCGACGCTCCTCCAGTTGGGCGAAGGGTTCTTCGATGTAGGAGATGACGGTCGGTGACGGCGCTGCCGGAGGCGCGGGCGATGGGTTGCCTGATAATACCTGCTCGTGGGACAGACATGTTTCGTAAAACGCGGCGAGATTGTGCGAATCTCTGAAGATTATCGTGATTCCCTTTTCATTCATTCTCGCTGTCACCAGTCATTCCAATGTAATCTTTCATTTACAATAATGGAGTGGGCCAGCAAGAAAGTTTAATAAATAACTATGATAAATAAACACGCGATTAAAGCCCAGTAATAAGCTAGTAATCTGCATAAAGTAATTAAGATGGAAAACCTAATCGGAGTGTACATGAAACATCAATGTATTATGTACACTCCGATTTCTTTAAAATGCTATATTTAATTGTCTTCAAGAACTCAAATGACATTTTTTCGTGTTGGTTCTTCAAAATAATGGTAATATTTATTTTATTATAGAACCATTAATTTCTAAGATTAACCAACAAAGCTTACCATCGCCGCATTATTTGGGGAAATTTTGCGTGCTTAAGGTGGTAACAAGCATTTAAAAATACTTCAC